TTTTTGAGACAGAGTCTCACTGTGTTGCCCAGTCTGGGGTGCAGTGGCACGATCTCTGCTCACTGCAACCTCTACCTCCTGGGTTCAAGTGATTCTCCTGTCTCAGTCTCCTGAGTAGATGGGGCTACAGGTGCGTGTCACTCTTCCCAGCTAATTTTTGTATTTTTAAAGGAGATGGGGTTTCACTATGTTGGCCAGGCTGGTCAGGAACTCCTGACCTCAAGTGATCTGCCTGCCTCAGCCTCCCAAAGTGCTGGGTTTACAGTTGTGAGCCACCATGTCTAGCAAAACAGATAACTTTTAACAGAGTATTTATGAAGCATTAATTCATCTGCCAGGAATTTATTGAGGACCTGTGATGTGCTGACCAGGGTTTTAGGAGCTAGTATACAGCAGAGAGTAAGACAGGGTCCGTGCCCTCAAGGAGCTAACATTCTATTGGGGTGGTGATAACCACAACGTACACACCACCACCAACAACCAAACATCAAATAAGTAGGAGACTATGAGGTGGGAGTGTTCTGATGCAAACAAAGGGTGATGTAAGAGAGAGCCCAAAGAAGCCTCATTAGACACATAGTGATCAGTAAATGCCTCTCTGCCAGTATGACAACTAATTTAATGACAAAGAAGGAGCTAGTGATGTAGAAGTCTGAGGTCAAAATACTGCAGCAGAAGAACAGAAAGTGCAAAGCCCTGAGGTAGGAGCAACCTTGGCATATTTGAGGCACAGAGTGACCACTTCAGAGAAAAAGACAAGACATGGAACCAAAACCTGAAGACTCACATGGACGATTTTCATGGAAGAGGCACACACTGCTGGGAGAATAGAAAGGAGGAACATCTCATCTAGCCTAGGCAATCAGGGAGAGCTGCCTGGAGGAAGTAATATCTAATCCAGGACCTAAATGACAGGTAACAGAAGAGGAGATGAAGGGTTCTCCAGGCAGAGGGAACAGCATGTGCAAAGGCCTGGGGGTGGGTCAGAGCCTGATGCATTCATTAAGGGGATTGCAAGAAGCTGATGTGGTTGAAGCCCAGAGCTGAAGTGTGGGACTGCAGGAATGGGACTGAGGGTACCCTGACATTTAGGCAGAAGGGCCAGGCCTGACCCCACCCAATGGGTCTGTTCACAGAATTGATATTGCCAGGAAGAGCATTTCAGAATGGGAAGGAGGAATCAAAGAAGGAACTGGAGGCAGGCGGGGAGGCCAGCAGGGAGAGGGAGTGAAGGTGGAGCCGTGGCTGAGATCAGTGACAGTACTAGAGTGGGAGAGAAAAATTCTGGAGCTCTCACAAAGCCGAAAGGACTGATGTGGGACAGCCTGGGACACAGGGACAAAGACCTCGGAGAACTCAGAAAAGCATTTAACTAAGTATCTTCTGGCTTGGCAGGTGGCCAAAGTGGGTTTTGAAGTCTGAAAGACCCAGAGCAAGTCGTGGCTTGTCCACTTCCTAGCTGTGTGCAACCACTTCCCTGCTCTGAGCCTCAACTTCCCCATCTGTTGAATGAAACTGGCACACAGCCCACATTGAAGAAGTATTGTGCAGATTGGGAGTGAATGTACAGGAAAGCTCTGGGTATACAGTAGGCGCTCATTCCCTTCCTTGACCCTTGGCTTTGGGCCTCCACTTTACCTCCCTGGGCCTGTTTTCTTGACTGTAGAATGGGAATCAGAATGCTTTGCAGTGCTGTGGGCAGGAGTTAAAGAGATGAATTTGTGGGCTCAGAACACAACCTGCAGAGGGGTGATCACGGATTTCATTATCTTCTCTTTCTTCCTCCCCAGCAGGAATTGCTGAGACAGGATGACCTGGCAGGGGCTGGTGCTGGCTGCCTGCCTCCTCGTGTTCCCCTCTGCCACAGCAGACTGCCTGTCGCGGTGCTCCTTGTGTGCGGTAAAGACCCAGGATGGGCCCAAACCCATCAACCCCCTGGTAGGTTTCAGGCAAGGTTCTTCAATGCCCAGGTCCTGGGGCCTGGGTGAGGGAGCCCAGAGAGGGGAGGTTGCAGGCCTTGGCAGCTGTGTGCTGTCCTGTAGATCCATCCCACCTGTGCAGGGTGGCGGGTGTCCTGCCCTGTAGATGGCCTGGACACCAGGGGCTGCTGTTTTCCATCTCCTATCCCCACTCCAGACCTCACCACCATGGGTTCACTCAGGCCACGACAAGAGACTCAGGTGTCCAGGGAGAGTGATGCCTGGCAACAGGGAGTGTCATTGCTGAGGTGGTGCTGACTTTGGCAGTCAGCAGCCCTAGATTGACTTTTTAGGGCTTCTTATTCCCGGACTGATGAGCACCTCCAAATCTAGACAGTTCCATGAGAGGAGCTGTCTCCACCACCCCTAAATGCAAAGATCTGGCTGACAGAATCAAAGCTTTGACCCCTCTCCTGGGCCTTAGCACCTCTTGGCCCCACCTTGTTGGCTTTGCTTTGAGTTAAGCTCCCCCACGTGTCTCTCCCATGACAGCAGAAAGGCTGGAATAGAGGTACCAAGGGAATGGGGACAGAACACAGACTTT